TTGTATACAAAGTTAGTATATACTTTATTTCACATTATCCTTCACTCACATTGTATTTCATGCAATCATTCCCATTCATTATGTTTTGTAAAATTAATCATTATTGAACTATGTCCCCATTACTCTGTCTTTCCTGATCCCTGTCAGGTCTTCTCCATTCTCTTTACACCCCCTCCTCCACCCACAACATTGTGTGACCCTATGGATTCCTCCCTGCCCATCCTCATCCCTCTGCTCCTTCACCGTACAAATTTTACTTGTTCTCTTTCTCTTTTCACAATAATTATCTTATGCAGTATTTATCCTTATGAAACTAAGTTAATTTACACAGCAAAAAGGCCTACAGTACTCCCAAGTAATTTTTTTAAATTCTTGAGCCTGAGTGCTGAGTAGTATTCCATCATGCAGATGTACCACAATTTCTCAGTCCATTCGATTGTGGTTGAACATTTGAGCTGTTTTCATGTTCTTGTGATTGTGAATGACACTGGTATGAGCATTTGTGTACCAATTTTCTCTTGTATCTCTTTTGTGTTTTAATTTCCTTGGGGTATATTTCTAGCAGTGGCATAGCTGGATCGTATAGGATTTCTATGTTCAGCTTTTTGAGGGAACTCCCAACTGCTTTCCAGAGTACTTGTACCATTATGCAATCCCACCAACAGTGGGAGTATGAGAGTCCGCTCCCTCCATATCTTCTCCATCATGCATTGCTTTCTATCCTGTTCAACTTTGCCAGTGCTACTCTTTCTTCTAAAGTTATTTGATGAAGATCTAGATAATCAAGAAACTAACTTAACTCAATTCTGTTCCATTCGTCTATATGCCTTAGAACACATTATCTCACCTTCTCTACTTCCTAAAGTATGTTAGGTGACCAGAAGGACTACAAGCTTTTACTTATTTACTGAATGATTGTATAAAATTTTATTGTATGGATGTAACACAATGGACCAATGTTCTAAAGACATTCAATTAGATTGTTTCTTATACTGGAATCAGGTCAATATTTTCACTACTACTGAAAAAAAAAAAAACCACCAACAAACAACAGAAGAATAGATAAACATATTGCAGTCGAGTTGCTGTGTGTCATCAAGTCAGAATCGACTTACACTGACCCTCCAATGAGTTTCCAGATACAGTAAAACATATGAGAAGAGATTGCCCACCCTTCTCCCACAGAACAGCTGGTGGATTTGAACTGTGCGTCTTTGTGATTGTAGTGCAGCTTCTTACTACTAGGCCATCTAAGTAAGCAAAGCACCGCTTTCCAAGACACACATTTAAAAAAAAATAGTTTATTTGCAAAATTTGAATACATTGTTTTTTAGACCAGATTATTCTCATTTTCCTCACTCCCCCATCAAATTGAACAGCCCCATGATTAAGCCATATCCCCTCCTGCACATCCTCATCACTCTGCTTCACCCTTTCCTCCCTCCGTAGATTCTCATACTCATTCTACATTATTGGTTTTACACACTATTTGTCTTGTGTAACTGAGTCAGTTCACTCAGCATAGAGCTCTCCGAGCTCTCCAGTCCCTTTCAAGTTAGATAATAATTTGCAAAATCATTGCTCCTATGTACTACATAGTATTCCATTGTATGAATATACTATATTTTCTTAAATCTGTTTTATTGTGGTTGTACATCTGGGCTGTTTCCATGTTCTTGCAATGGTGAATAATGCTGCTATGAACATAGGTGTACAAATATCAGTTTGTGCTGCTGTTCTCCTTTTCTCAGGTTATATTCAAAGCAGTGGAATAGCTGGGTCATATGGAATTTCTACATTCAGCTTTTTGAGGAAGTGCCAAACTATCTTCCAGAATAGTTGTACCACTTTACAATCCTACCAACAATTGTATAAAATTTCATATCTCTCCACATCCTCTCCAACATTTATTACTTGCCTTCCTGTTAAACTTTGGCACTGTTACTGGACTGAGATGGTATCTTATTATGGTTTTGATTTGCATTTTTCTTATTGCCAGTGATTTGGAGCATTTCTTCATGTGTCTGTCAGCCATTAGAATATCTTCTTCTGTGAAAATTCTTTCCACATCTTGTACTCATTTTGTAGCTATCAGTCTTTTTATTGGGGAGGCCCAAGAGTATTCTGTAAACTTTCTTTATGAGAGTCTTGTCTGAGATGCTATTGTCAAATATTTGTTCCCAGTAGGTAGGTTTTCATTTAACCCTGTCAGAAAATATTTTTTATGTACATAGGGATTTAATCTTTAAGAGGTCCTGTTAGTCAATTTTATCCTTTTCAGATTGTACATTTTGGCTGTATTTGGCAGTCTCTAACATAGTCTAGGGCTTCTATACTTGATCCCAGTTTGTCTCTTACAACTTTATGGTTTCGAGCTTCACTCCTGGGTCTCTGATTCACCTTGAGTTGATTTTTGTATATGGTGTGAGGTGTGGATTTTGTTTCAGCTTTCCGCAGATAGAAATCCAGCTTAGTCAGCACCATTTGTTGAAGAGGTTGTCATTTCACCGTTTGATAGCTTTGATTTTCTTGTCAAATAGCTGTTGACCATAGATAGCTGAGTCTCTTTCTGGGTTCTCAATTCTGTTCCATTCGTCTATATGCCTGTTACTGTACCCGTACCACACTGTTTCTGTTACCACTGCTGTATAGTAGGTTTTGAAGTCAGAGAATGCTATGCTATGCCTCCCACCTCATTTTGTTTCTCAGAAGTGTTTTGCTTCTTTGGGTTCTCTTGCCTCTCCAAAGAAATTTGACAATTTCTTTCAATTCAATCTCCTTGAAAAAGGAATTCGGTATCTGGATTGGGATTGCAATGAACATGTGGATTGCTTTTGGTAGGATTGTCATTTTCACAGTATTGACTTCCTACCCATAAACAGGGTACATTTTTTCCCATTTATTTAGGTCTTTTACTGTGTTTTGCAGAACTGTTCTGTTGTTTATTTTGACTCATATATGTCAGAGAGTAGAACTATGTTTCTAATGCTTTTTAATATTGATTTTTTTCACCTTAATGAAACTTTGTTACTGTCATTATGTGGCATAGTTGTTAAATACAAACAGGTTTAAATATTATCATGGTAAGGATTCTGATAATATTTAATATATGATGGTTAAATACTAATTTTTGAAAGCAGATTTCTAAGCCTTTCATTCAAGGTGCCTCTGAATCCTGAAACTTTTGGTTAGCAGTTGAGCAGATATATTATTTTCACAACCCAAGAGCTTCCCAGAAGGACTGGCCCTCTCTAATTTAACATTTTATTGTCAGCACTCAGAACATATTTTTCTACACTGATTTGTAATCAATATATATCTGCTAAATGTTAAGTGATTAGATAACTATATTAACTTTTCATCTACCTTTTTTCATGAATATATAAAATTGTAGAATTGCTATGTTCTTTTCTTGTTGTTGTTGTTGTTGTTGTGTGCCGTAGAGTTGGAACCGACCCATAGCTGACCGTCCAGAGGGTTTTCCGAGACAGTTAATTGCACAGGAAGATATTCCTCATCCTTCTTCTGAGGAGCAGCTGGTGACCTCAAACTGCATTCTTTTGGGTTTGCAGCACAATTTCTTGCCACCAGGCCACCAGAACTCCACTAGTAACTATAGGTACTGCAGCTAAATGTGGAAGACAGTCTCACAGAGTACTCTGCCAAAATGGGTGTGATTTGCAGAATTTGCCATTGCAAGTGATAAATAAGTTCGGATATATTAGGTAAACAGCACCACGTATTTTTAGCTTCTCACACTCTAATATATGATCTTGCTGCTTAATAGTCTTTCATTAATTTTTCACAAGCTCTTATACTTCATTTGCTTTACATCATTAACCACTTACAACATGTCCCATTTTTCAGAGGTTGGTAAAGAAACAGTTATGACTGGCAATATTGTGAGAATATGACATGGTTTATGATCTCTCTTCAGATCTTACCTACTAATGGCTTTATTTTGTCTCTTTCAGTAAAAAAGGCAATTGAGTTGAAGTCAAGAGGAGTCAAGATGCTGCCCAGCAAGGACAGTAGCCATAAAAATTCAGTGTGTAAGTCCTCTTTCTTTCTATTTATGGATTGATATGTCAATTAACGGGACCAAGGAAAGAGAGAATGAAGTGGTTAGAAACTAAATCTATAAACTGCTTTTCCACTTCATCTCTTCCTACTTTTCTAACTGCAAAATATTTTCTGGAGAAAAGAATATATGCTAATTTCAGGTCATTGGAGAGAAATGTTGTCTTGATTCTTTCTCTTTAATGTGTCTTGAATTTGTCTTCACATCACTGCCATCAGTCACTGTCTGAGTCTGGACCTTTAGCATTTCTCACTTGAATAGATGTTACACTGCCAGATGATTCACTTCCAAATCGCTTTTCACTTTAAACTATGCTACACTCTGCCACCTGAGGAATAAAATAGCCTTACCACCAGCCTATATCACTTCAAAATAGAAGCAGGGTCATGAAATCTGGTTTGCTATTGGTTACATATGTATGTTTCTAGCATATGGTAGGCATTCTGTAAGTAGCTATTGACTGAAAGAATGTATATATTCCTTTCATGAAATAAAAACTTGCCCATTGGAAACATTTTCTAACTCCTCTCGATTTCCCCCAGGTTTTGACATTCAAATTCTGGGTCTTGGCTTTATTACCGCTTTATTGAGTTACAGCCTAGCCATTTATTCACCTTTTCTCATTAGATGGAGATCAGCGGGTGCCACCAAAACATTCAGGTGGATTCCTTTGAGTCTGGTCCTGTCCTATGGCATCATGGTCTTCAAGACTGTCAACCTGTTTTCTTGCCTTTTTGTAACCACTTCTAGTAACCTCTTGCTCTGTGGTTTCAATTTACTTGTCATGATATACTTTACCTATTGTTTTGGATCTATGTAGTTTATTTTTTCATTGCCCAGCAGATAATAAATATAGAGAGCCAGAGATTTACATGTGGAACCTCTCAGTTAAACAGAACATGGGGGAACCTGGAGCACATCATTCTGAGTGAAATATATCAGTCACAAAAGGACATATACTGCATAACACCACTGTTATAAAGCAGGTCTGACATGGGGTGAGGGTTGAGAGGAAAATAGTTGAAGAGTGGATAGACAATGACCATTGTGTTGGAACAGATGAAAGAAATAGCTGTTTAAAATGAATATATGATTAAGCATTATACATATAACAACAGCCTGGAGTAAGAGATACATAATTGCAAAGAGGACTGAGGTGAGAGAGGTAGGTAAAGTGCAGCAATGAATTAATATTTTTTAAAAAAGTGTGGGAGGGGAATGGAAGGATAAGGGGATAAAAAGTGCAACAATGAATGAATGAAAATCTAACTTCTCTGTAAACGTTCTTTAAAAATCACAATTAAAATTTTATTTAAAAAAAAACCCAATTCTATCTGTATTGCATACTGGGCTTCTTAATCTACTTTTAGGCATATTTCACATAAAAACTTATAAATAAGAACAACAATAGGTTGAGGGTTTATTTTTTAAAGAAAATCCACATCATTGACCAACTTTTGCTTTGTCAGTATTCTATAATTTCCCATTAATTGTCTATATGACAATAATTTGACTCTGTACAATGATCTTATCCTGTGGAAGTTGGAAAGGCATTGAGGTGGACACATTTTAAATTTTTACTTTCAAACAAAATGTAGAGTACCCAGACTCTGATCTCAACTCAGGTCTCTAAGGGATGCATACAGACACACAACACAGTATATTTTCATTCATAGCATTTCCTGTACTATAGTCACAGTTTGTGTCACTTAAATTGTACTCACAAAAAAAGGAAGACTGTACATGTAAAAATATTTAAATGGCAAATACTTTCTTTAAAATAAGTTATTTATGTTTACAATAGCATTAAAGCAAATTAAAATTTTTAAAAAAGATCTAAGTCCTCCAGAGTGCAGCTGATGTCCATGTGGACCTAGCCACGGATGGCTGGGGATAAATTGACTAAAATCCAAACAGATGAAGAGAAGATATTTTGTTATCCAAGTTAATGTTGATTGCTGCAACTTACTGGCTTGCTCAGGATGGGACTTTGTTTGTGGAGACAGATACTCAAGTTTTCAAATTGAATAGAAAGTCTTCTGCAAAAGGAACATGCTAGTTCTCTCAGAATTCTGGTTTGAAAGGGATAGGAAAATCAGAAGTTGCTTTCTAAAATAGGAATATTAAGGCATGAAGCGTGAAGTAGCCACCTTACACACCTTCATAAGTGTGGTTATTATTAAGTTGGCTGTAAGGTGAAAGTTGATTCTGCAAATATGGAGGTTAATGGCTTGAAAATATGGAGGTTAACGGCTTGAAAAGACCATGATGTCAAGGGCTTATTGTTCAAAATGGCTTTCCTAGCCATTGAATTTAACTTTGCCAAATGGATAAGTGGGGCTGTGCAAATGGAGTAAGTTGGTATATTCATATGATTTTTGTCTAGTCTTGCCAGTCAATTGCTTGGATTTCGCAGCGGAAATTTAGAATCTCACCACCAGCATAGCAGAAACAGAGAATGCAGAGGCAGAGTGTGCATCGTTGGGAGCCAAAGATTCCTTTACTACTTAGACCCGGGAGCAGGAGCCTCAGCATATACAGAAGAGAACCAGAGACCTACCAAAAAACAGAGCAGACCTTGCAACTACTACCCCACAGAACCAGAGCCTTTGCCCAAATATACTGGAGGCCTAGGGGGCAGACACGATAACTGGCAGGATAATAGCTTGTGACCCTAGTCTCAAGTTGCAATCTTTCCTGACTAAACAATCATATCCTGCTGCTGAATTAAAGCCATTTGATTTCCCTAATAAACATCATAATTGTAAAACCAAAGGGAAAAAAATTCAATCAATCAAAAGTGAATGGAAGCAAGAGAAGGTTAGAGAAAGTGGAAAAAGGATTTTTGACAATGAAGATTTCATGTTTGTTATTTAGGGTTTTTTAATTTTTTGATATTTTTTATTTATTTAGGTTTTTGATGAAGCAAGAAATAAGCACTTAATATAGAAATTTTACAACTGTATTTTGTTGGGAGTTAGTTTTAGTTATTGTTGGCTCACTAATACCTAACAACAGCATAAAACATGCAAATGGTCCAAAGTTTTGCATTGATGTGGTTCTATTAGGTGAAGTTCTTACATCTAATAATCATCAGAACAGATATCAAGACAATGAAACAATATTTATCTACCAGGATAGCGTTTGGGAAGAGTTGTTCATGTGTAAGAATAAAATTTCTCCCATAATTACCTGGAAATATATCAACAACTATTTATTTGTTACTAGAAAGTATTAAACACTTTCTCTCAACACGTTTTGCTATTTTTTGTTTTGCCCAACATGAGAACAAATCATTAAAGAAAAATGAAGAATTGAAGAAACGGCAGGCTTTCTACAACTAACGTTATAATAAATGCTAATATTTTTTCTGTGAGAGATGTGACAGAAAACTAAATTATGAGTTTCACAGAGGACAGAACAGAGGGTTGGAACTAGAGAGATATGGATATAACAGTTTAAAAACTACTTATTCTACCTAAATGTTATGATTTATAAAATTTAAGTAGTAATAATTTTTATTGAGTTCTCACACAGATAAACTAAAATACTTGTAAATGGTCTACTCTACTACATGCACCAAAGTGGACAGATAACACATTTTACCCAATATGAGCTTCTCCATATATAAATAGGACAAAGTAAAGAATGTTATTAAAAGAAAATTGTCAGGCAAAAATAGCACCACAACCTACAACAAGAGAATGTTAAGTCTGAAAATAGTAAAGAGTTTATGTGGCATTAGAGCCAAATCTCACACAAGACGAGTGATTCAGAACAATGATGGGTCAACTGTGATTTGAGTCTAACTTGATGGCCATGAGTTTGAGATTTTTAGTTTTTACATTTAAAATGACCCTTTGCTTTATAGATTTCTGTACCGGACCTTATTGGTCATAAATGCTGTGTAAATATGGTGAAATGCTTTTGTGTTTTTGTTTTTTTAACTCCATTTGGTACATTTCAGCCTGGAGTTTTGCTACTATAACTATAAGACCCATGCTTCTTTCAAGAGACTGCTGTTGTTGGGTACTGTCAAGTTGTTGCTGGTACAGCAATCTCACATATAGTAGAATAAAAAACACTTTCTTTTTTTCCATCATTCTCAAAAATGTTGCTGTATTTTAATTCATGGTTACAGTAACTGTGACAAAACATGTTATTTTTTTTTCCTTCAATTGGTTGAACTTTGTTGTATCCTGTAGAGTCAGAACCGACCCATAGCTGACCCTCGGGTGTGTTTTCAGAGACAATTAATTGCATGGGAGGAGATTGTCTCTCCTTCTTCCATGGAGCAGCTGGTGGATTAGAACTGTGTGCCTTTGGGAATGCAGCTCAGCTTCTTGCCACTAGACCACCTTCCCCAGGACTAATCCCCCCTTATAACATACAAAGCATTTAATGTGAAATCTCACCATTCTCCCTTTTGTGGCATATTCTGGCTGTATTTCTTCTAAAATGAATTTATAGATTCTTCTGGAAGGTTCTCTCAATTTAGTCATCTTATGCTGCTATGTAACAGGGATACTACAAGTGAATGGCTTCAACAAACAGAATTTTTTCTCTTTAATAGTTGTTGTTAGATGTCACCAAGTCCTATACAATTCATAGCGACCTTATGAACAACAAATATGAACCCGATCCTATCATAAACTATCCTCATAATCTCTGATATACTGGAAACTCTTGCTGCAGTCCCTGTATCATCCACCTGATTGAGAGTGTTCCTCTCTTTCTCGGATCCTCTACCTTTTCAAGCATGATGCTGCTTTCCAAGAAATAGCCTGTGCTAGTAACATGCTCACAGTATGTAAGATGAAGCTTCATCATCATTTCCTCCAAGGAACACCCTGGCTGCCTTTCTCTAAGGCATTTTTTTGTGGCGGTTGTTCTTTTAGCAGTCCGTGGGATATACAATACTCTTCCCCAATACTAAAGCTCAAAGGTGTCAATTCTTCCCCTGTCACTCGT